CAGGCACAGCTCAAGAGACCGGAAAATCTTCCCACACAGCTGCGAGAGAACTTTAAAACTGAGCAAAAGACTAGCACAACAGGTTCTGAATGGTTAGATCTGTCAAATCCACTGAAGTCCAGGCCAAATGTAACTGAAGATTTGTAGCTTCTTTTTAATCAAGTACTTACAGAAAAACACCTAAAAGCAGCAGCCGCATAATAACTTCTGCAATAAAGCCATGATCAAAACTCTTCCTCATCTTTGGTCCTGGTTTGTCATCGAAGATACCTCCAACTAAAACCTGGAAAAAGTGGAAGATGACTGTTGCATTAAGCGGAAATCATAAATTCATATTCAGATAGAAATGAATATCTGAGAATTCAACCCAGATAAACTTCATCACCAACAACCTTCCATCACAATGGGGTTATGTGACACTTCAACTGGTTAGGATTATAATCCCAAAACAAAAAGAAAAGAAACCACTAGGTGTTATTTAAAAGGGGATTTAATATCACAGAACCCTGTTAGAAAGTCCGGTTTAACATGGTATCTGGTTTCTAGCTGGTTTATGATGGTCATTACAAGCTGGTTGACCAGTTACCATGTACCACAAACCAACCTGACCACCAAGTACGACCAACGATTAATTGGTTTGTTGTTGGTCCTTAATTAATGACCACCTTGGATCGGCTAGAAACCATCTAGGCAACATCTTACATCTTAACCCCCTTAAGATGGTATGAACAGTTAGTTGATGGTTTGTTGATGGTCCAAGATGGTCGACAGCTTGGACCAAACCAGTTACCATGTTCCAAAATACAGCTAGGTTTAACAGTTTTTCCAGCATGGAACTCCATTAGAAAAGCTAGTTTAAGGTGGTATCTGGTTTCTAGCTGGTCTATAATGGTCATTACAAGCTGACTGGCCAGTTACCATGTTCCAAACCCAACCTGACCACCAATTATAACCAGCTATTAGTTGTTATGTTGCTGGTCTCCAACTAATGCCCACCTTGGATCAGCTAGAAACCATCTCCAACCTGTTTAACCACCACAAACAGCTGGTGGATAGGTTATAGATGGTCCAAGATGGTCTACAGTTTAAACCAACTAGAAGTCAGCTACCACGTTTCAAAATAGCTAGATTCAGTTTTTCCAGCACGGAAGTAAGGATCGATATTTCCACCACTAGAGTGTCTCACGGGAGACAAACAGATAGTTAATCTATAAGATGTGCTGTCACCAGCCGCACGACCCTCCGCGCCACATCTGTGAGATTCGCTTACGAACATTTCCGCAAACACGACATCGCGCATCCTCCGTCTTTTGTCTGCAGTTCGGAGTTGAATACCGACCTTCGGATTCTTTCCTTTTCCGTCTAAACCGTTGCCTTGTCGGCTGTTGAGAGCAGCCACCGGAGCAGAATTTCGTGAGGTCTATCATATATACTTGACATGTCCAGCAGCAGCTGAGCGGCGTACCGGCAGCTATGAAGAGCTCTGACACGTCAGTCCTTTCAGGTATGGCCGAGTCGCGATGGAATCGTTCGTTTGAACCGGTTCTTTTTAACTGATTCGATCGAGCCGATTCGCAGAGCTTTTTCGCGAATCACGCGAATTTAAAATGAGGTAATGAATGATGACTTTGATTAATTTCAAAGTGAAAATGTTGCTATTTTAAAATCTAATGCAGAGTAAGTTCAAAATTTGTCAATTAACATTTTTTTAAATCTTCATTCACTTTATTCACTTCCCCTAAAACTAGCTGTCCTCAGACCATATACAAATACTATGAAACATTTTAGGCAAAAGCCAAGCCTTCTGCTATAAATTCTACAATGTCACATTGGCTTTAATGGAGATACTGTTTTTTAAGTAAATTAATGGCAAAATTAGTGATAAATGTTACTTTTGTGAACACGACGCGATGACTCGAATGTATCATAATCACGAACGTTCAAAAGAATCGATTCGGACATATCAGTCGTAGATAATCATGAATCATAAGCCCTCTAGAGACCGTCACAGCCCCAACCCTCGACAATTTTTGCACTTGCAAATTTCCTTAACCACTGGACCCTATTCAAAGTAAACATATTCAAAAATATGTAGGCTACATTTAGCAAAGTTTTATCATACACCACCAAATCTGTAACAGCGTCAATTACGACAAACTCAATTCAGATGCGGATTCAAAGAAACACTCGAACATTCATTACAGTTTATTGAAGTCAAACCAGGCAAGTCTGAAAACGTTTAAATCTGTGGAATGTTGCTTAAAGTACTCTCAGAATAAATGATGAATTCTGAAGAAATACATCTCAAAAGTTGGCCAAATAAAATACAAGAAATGTACAAAATGTTTCTAGGTTCACAAACATTCAGAAGCAATATTACAAGCATTCGTGCGACACTACAATATAATGACAATTGAGTTGTTTTTTCCTTTTTTTTAGCTTTCAGCTATGTACAGTTGATCAAGCATCATTCTCTTACACAATGCAATGACATAGGCTACATAACATAGCCAAAGAAATGTCTATCCATGAGTAGTACATCATTAGAAAACTTGGAGAGGACATACATTCTACCCAAGCCATATCATTTAGGATACGTTTTATTCAGTTGGAGTGTGTAATGTGATTCAATGCACATGGTGAAAAATATTACAATATCACATTAATCTTTACACAAACTCTGTAACTCAGTAGCAAGAATTAGTAAACAGTCTATTTAAAAGGAATGTGAAATCATTACAGAAATCAAAGTGTAAGCTGGTAGGACACCACCTTTAGTAAATTCAGTTAAGCAACACAAAGAACATGCTCGGATAGCACAAAATGAATATGACACCTTCAAATACACAAAAAATTTACACAAAGTACAGTGCACTGACACCAAACACTGGAATCAATGGAGGTAATAGACTTTTAACATTTGATATAGCAACAAATCAATTACACTCAGATCAGTGATTGAACCACTGCATTAACAAATGTCGATTAATAAAATGAAATTTCCACGAGGGTTCAAACAAGCCATTCCGAAAAGTCACCGGCAATTTCTAGTGATCATCTATATCTGATTAAACATGTAAATGAAGGCCAAATAAAGAAAATAAAAATGATAGTATAAGTAAAAAAATCATAGTACCGACAGAGACCAGGCAAAACGTGCTTTGCATTCTGCCAACTGCATTTTCTTGATATTTTTCATTATAAGGGCAAACATTGGTGTTTCAGGAACAAAAGTGCCTATGACTTCTAAAAAAAAATTAAAGTAAGCTATATAAAAATAAATGTAAACTATAAAAATATCATATCAGAACAAACACAAAATTACATAAGCCCGTTCCTGCCATGGAATAATACAATAAAAAAGGTAATTGTGATTTTTTTTTCATCTTATAAATCTGACTTTGTTTAAAAAAAAAAAAAAAAAAAAAAAAAAAAAAAAAAAAATTTTTTTTTTTTTTTTTTTTTATAAAACTTTCTTTTTTTAAAAAAAAAAAAAAAAAAAAAAAAAAAAAAAAAAGTCAGAATTGTCAGAATTGTAAGATACAAACTCAAAATTCAGACTTAAAAAAAAAAAAACGTCGCAATTGAAATTTTTATTCTGTGACAGAAACAGGCTTCCACACAAAAGAGACCCAAAATGCCTTCCATGTTTCAAAGATGCAGATGCAAGTAAGAGCATACAGTATTTTCATAAACATACAAATCTCAGCTTGGCAGTCAAATCGTCAGAATTCCTTAAATTTGCCGTCGGATGCAAGAATTCACACATATATCCACAAACAACACTCCATTGCGAGACAAACAAGTAATAAATACAGACTTGAACAAAGGCAAAATGGACATGATTCAAGTAAAATGAAAACTTGCAGCGCTTTCCCTCCTTTCCATAAAGTGACAAACATACTGGTGGTGCCATCACGTGTAATACTTGTACTGTGGTCTATAAAAACGTTCATGTGAAATGACTAACGAGTAAGTATACAAAGCCCATGTGCCGAAGCCGCAGAGATTGGTCGATTCTTCATCCGTGCAAACTGTGGCACAGCACGACCGCACAGCTACCAGTAACAAGAGAGTAACAGCTCCACTTTACAGCACAGGCATCAAAGCTATTGAGTTAAGTAGATTCACATCAAGTACAGTCACTGAGAGGATTATGCTAC